TGTGAGAGTACAGAGGGCTCGGGAATGAGATCTGAGCAGCTCCTTGTTCAGGGGCCAGGGCTGAGGTGACTGTGGTCAGTGTCTGAGTGAGGTGGGTGATCCTGCTTGAGAACAAACACAGCAAGCTCCCTTGTCCTCTCAGGATTCTGGGCATGCATACACATGCACCCAGTATGTTTTTCAAGCTGCTGGGTCTGGGACTCAAGCCATGGAGTCAGCCGTGGGGGAATCCAGCACCTTAACTACCACGCCATCTGCTGGCCCAGAACCCTGTTTTAAATAATACCTCTTAAAAATCCATCTCACAGAATTACTTTGGGTAATGCTGGACTACAGTCTAACAAAATATTATTCAAGTAATGATGGAAAAAAGAAAAAGATGAAGTTAAAATTTATACTTAATTATTCCTAGATAATATGTATTTCTGAGGATGAGTACTAACAAAAATCTAGGTAACTGTAATCAAGACTACTTAATATTGCAATGATGACTATGTAATAAAAGACATGTTTTTCTTCTCTTTGTTCAAATTTGCTATTGTGTATGTGTGTTCACCAGAGAGACACACAGAGACGGTGAGAAAACACCCCCATGGGGAATGGCCACACTGCAATCCCTTCTCTTCCTGGGATTTTGGACATGCACGTCCACACGCCTGGTGTGTTTTCAAGTGACTGGGCCTGGGACTCCATCCATAGCCAACCGTGTGGGATCCAGCAGCCTTCCCCAGCATGTCATGGCTGGCCCTGAGAACACCTTCTCTGCAGTTGTGAACTGGGAGGAGCAGGATCTCCGGGCCAGGAAGGCAGGCCCCTAGACCAGCGCACCGTCTACAAGAGTGAACCTGGGCCTCGACCATTAACACACTGCCCGTTCCACATGCGCTGTCTCTGTGGTTTCAGTACCCAAGTCCGTGCTGGGGTTAAAGGGTGATTAGAAGGGCCGGGTGCCGGGGCACCTGTGGCTCAGCTGTACTCACACCAGAAAGGTCCCAGGTTCACGTCCCGGAGCCTTCTGAGCAGGCCAGGCACAGGAGTGCGTGTCCGTGACAGTTGAGACTGGGACTAGGTCACAGAGTGGGGACCCTGTCGGGGACGCTGTCTCTGATTCTCTCTCATAGAAGAAATATGTAAGCAAACCTGAATGAACTGCCATGGAAACAAGGCACGTAAAACTCGGCTCCAGGAAATGGTCACAGCAGGAAGAGGTGCTATGCTGTGCGGGAGGAGTGGGTAGACC